CCGGCACCCTCCTCTGCAATCCAGCTCACTTCCTACAGAGACAACACTTGGGATCCTTAAGAGTTAAGCACAGCTGGGCACAGAGATTGTACGCCTGTAAGCCCAGCACCTCAGGAAGCTGAGGCAGGAGAATGGAAAGTTTGAGACCAGCCTGGGAAATTTAGCAAGACCCTCCTCTCAAAATAAAAAATAAAAAGGACTGGGGTTGTAGATCAGTGGAAGAGCACCCCTGGGTAGGCTCCCCAGTACCAGGGAAATTAAACACTGTGCCTGGGGTGCCCTAAGCCTGGGTAGGAGATTGTGGGGGTGTCTCAGTGTGAGCTGACATTTTCTTCACACAGCCCTTGGTAATTTTTCCACTCGCCTGCGAAAGCTCTTCAGTGGTTGCTCCAGTGGGCCCAGGCTCAAGCTTCTTTGGTGAAGAAGCCTGTGGAATGCAGGCTCTCTGGCAGCTGGTATTTCCCCCTCCCTGAGAAGCGCCTTCCTTTTCCATCAGCACAAAGCAGACAGACACCAGAAACTGGTGTTTCCTGTCACCATCTCACCTGGTACTCCTATAACTGGTGAAATGCTTTACAAATACTTTTCTTGGCCCCGGAAGTGGAAGGAAGTTTGTGAAGAAGCTGTTTTTAATTTCTCACTTGCTGGAAAATTACCCCAAACAGAAGGAGGCACGGAAACTGTGCAAATTCCATTGCATTACTGAGCAGAAGCTACCAGAGCCCTCAGACCAAGTGAGAAACATTCCTAGGGGACAAAGTTTTTAATACTATTTTTATTTATTTTGTGGTGCTGGGGATCATACCCAGGATCTCATGCATACTAGGCAAGGGCTCTACCACTGAGCTATATCTCCAGCTCAACACTATTTTCATTTTAAGGTCACTCTTATCATCCCCCATTCTCTGAATCAGTAGTCCTCAAAGGGGACTGAAAGAGCCAGGCAGGAACTTTGTTGCTGAATACAGGGATTCAGTTCACCTTGGGAAAGGTCTAAACTTTGAAAGGCAGCTGTAAAGTAATCCAAACCATCTGTGATCCTCAATGCCTATTTGTTAGTACCAGCAATTGAAACTACTGGGCCACATCCCCAGCCCTTTTTTGTATTTTATTTAGAGGCAGGTTCTCACTGAGTTGCTTAGGGCTTCACTAAGTTACTGAGGCTGGCTTTGAGCTCTCGATCCTCCTGCCTCAGTCTTCTGAGCTGCTGGGATTACAGGCATGTGCCACCCATGCCCAGTTGTCAAAAGGAGGATGAGACTCAGTGCCTAGTGCCTGCTGGGCAAGCACTCTACTACTGAGCTACATCCTCAGTCCACAGACTGGCTATCTTAAGATAATTTTGCTTGTTTTTTTGGACATTATAGGTTAAAAGGGTGGGTGAGGGGGTGCAGGCAAGAATTCTGTCCCTGCCAAGAGTCTAGTTTCGGACATGAGACACCATACCCAAATAATCTGTTTGGAAGGAAGCTTTGGCAACCGTTCTAACTTGCTGGCAGAGGAAATGGGCCCCATTTTTCACCACAGGTGGCCCAGCCAACAGCACCAGGAGGAAACTCTCTTCTGTATCTGCAGGTTTATCCCTAAATGCTGCGGAAATAGCAGCTGCCAGAGTAAGGAAAATACAGAGTACAGTCTTTTCAAACTCTTGAGTAAGATGGATATCACAATCATGACCTAAAAAGGCAAAGACTAGATATTCTGATGCTTGCTGCGGATGCAGCTTGCACACACAGCAGGATATGTTGCCACTTGGCCATTTCATTAGTCAGCCCACGTCGGGTGACACAGCAACCCCCCCGGGCCTGCTAGCCACAGACTCTGGCTCCAGAAAATGATAATGAACACTTCACATTCCCCACCGCCATGTGGCTTACAGAGCCATACACATGACTGGTCTCATGTGACCTTCACAGCCCTATTAATTATAACCCCCTCTCACAGATACTGAAAGCTGAGACTCAAGAGGATCAATGACTCGCCCAATGCCAAGGTGCCAGAACCAGACCCGACAGCAGGACTTCCGTGGAAGTTTGCCTACCCTGTGTGCTTTCTTTTCTTTTCTTTTCTTTTTTTCTAATACTTATTTTTCAGTCCTCAGCAGACACAACATCTTTGTTTGTATGTGGTGCTGAGGATCGAACCTGGGCCGCATGCATGCCAGGCGAGCGTGCTACCGCTTGAGCCACATCCCCAGCCCCCCTGTGTGCTTTCAAATGGACACATTCTTTATAGGCCACTTCTCCCAAGCCTGATTGTGTAGGTGAGAAGGCAGAGAAGTGGTAGGTAAATCATCTATCACAGCCTTCCAGGGTGGGAAATGAGGAAGTGTTTCTTTGCCTATTGGACTGATCCCTGGCTGCCCTACTGAAGTGGGGGAGCTGGTGATGACAAACAATGAAAACTGGGCAACGATGTTGAGGCCAATCTAACGGAAGTGGTGCCATAGACCTTCCACTGTTGAAAGAGATATCAGACTTCTCAAAAAAGTTTTCGTTGCAAAATGCCCACCCTGTAATGAAGAAAACAAGATTAACTTACTGTATACAGGAGAGGAATTGCTCGTTGGTCACATGGGAAAGCAGGATGTGACTGGGACAGGAAGTGTAGGGAAGGGAAAGGTAATGGAGTAGAAACTCAGAATACAAGGAGATACCAAACGAGAAGCAGAACCCTTTATACATACTCAGAGAGGCTGCCCCACCGATGGACAGACCAACACCTGGCTCGTGAGCTGCCTCGATGTCCTCTTGTGCATTGCTTCCTTAGATCATCAGGGAAAGGGTCTCTACCTGCTTCTTCACCAGGAAGCAGGCAGTCGCTGGGAGGGGAGCCTAAGGTTCATGGGCTTGCTAATTCTTTCCTATAGTCCCTTCTGTTTTCTGTCAGCAGTAGGGAAAGACATTCTAGCAAATGACATCCAGTAATGCTTTAATTAACTGCAGTATTTTGTGCTCCAATATGCACCAAGAAATCACTTCCAGATGGGCAAAATGAAAGATATTTACACAAAAAAGTAATTCCTTTATTTTAAAGCAATTTAGATCTCCCAAAGGTGTATAACTCTGAGGGTCCAAGAGGCTATTTTGATGAATGCTAGGATGGGACTGGAAAATTTTATTTAATATATAAAATGCAATGGTATTCCTTACATCTGCATGGATTTTCATGAGTCCATGTTTCCAAGGCTAGTGCTTAAATGGCCCAATGCAGTCAGTTCTAACCATTTTATTTTTAGGAATGTCTGACTTGGAGTAGACAAAAAAGTGTGGAACACTTGCCTTCACCTTCAAGCAAGTTAGTTATTTTGAGACTTTTCTTCCTAAGGAGAGGAATTACATTTCCAGCTGTTCACTTCTGGCATTTCCCCTAGTATTCTGTAAACAGGGAACCAAGCTTCCTTGTTCAACAGCAATTCAGGAGGAGCCCGTGGAACATCCCCCACATCGGGCAGCAGCCTTGGGCCTGCTCTCCCACCCTGTCTGCCCTGTCACTGTTACATCTGTTTGATCCACACCAAGGCACTACCTAGACATGAGAAAATAGGCACCTTCTGTAGGTGCTGGACAGAGACTTGGGTACTGGCTCTTTGTTCTGCCAGAGAGGAAGGTTTTTATTTTTGCTTTTCAGCACTGGGGATTGAACCCAGGGCCTCACACACTAGGCACCACCAGAGAGGAAGGAGCAGCATTAGCTTCAGTTTCAGAACCCAACTTGGAGATGTAAACTTCCCTGTCTATTGTAGCTCCCGCTCTACGGGTATAGTCCAAACAGGACTTCTCCACCCTGGCACCTCTAAGCCAGCTCTCCAGGAAGCCTCTCCATAATAAGAGCAACACTGAATTCTTTAGCGATTTATAATTTATCAATATTTATTTTAACCATGAGGAGACTTCAAAGTTGTTTTTGTTTTTAAAGAGGCTAGAGAGCTGTGTGCAATGGCGCACGCCTGTAATCCTAGCAACCCGGGAGGCGGATGCAGGAGGATTAAAAGTTCAAAGCCAGCCTCAGCAATTTAGTGAGGCCCTATCTCAACATAAAAAATAAAAAACATCCAGGGATGGGGCTCAGTGGTTAAGCGCCTGTGAGTTCAATCTCGGGTATCATCATAAAAAAAAAAAAATTAAATAGGCTAGAGAAAGTAGGGGAGGAATGGAAATAATATTCAAGGTTAGTTGAACTAGTTATCAGATGCTGCTTTAATCAATCGCTACTCCTTATGTACATTGCCATCATTTTTGGGAGGTATCGGGGTTTGAACTCAGGAGCCCTCAGCCACTGAGCCACATCCCTAGCCCTATTTATATGTTATATAGAGACAGGGTCTCACTGAGTTGCTTAGTGCCTCACTGTTGCTGAGGCTGGCTTTGAACTCAGGATTCTCCTGCCTCAGCCTCCCAAGCCATTGGGATCACAGGTGTGACACTAAGCCCAGCTGGAAGATTGTGTTTTAATGTGCAGGTTTCTGGATCTTTTCTCTGTATATTCTAATCCAGTGGGCCTGGGCAGGATTTGTTTTTAAAAAATAGGAACCATTTAGGAAACACAGTGTCAAAGGTCTCCTGTTGGAAGCATTTAATGGGCACCCAGTGCCTGTTCCTTCTGTCATTTTTAATTTTTTTTTTTTTTGTACTGGGAATTGAACCCAGGGGAGTTTTACCACTGAGCTATACCCCCAGCCCTTTTTATTTTTTGAGACAGGGTCTCACTAAGATGCTTATTAGGGCTTAAGTTTTTGAGATTGGCCTTGAACTTGTGATCCTCTTGCCCAAGCCTCCTGAGTCACTGGTGTTACAGGTGTGTACCACTGCACCTGGCTATGTATGTTATTTTGAAGTGGCAATAATAAATAAAGCTTCTATTTGACGTTTGGTCATCAAAAGAGGAAGATTATTCATCAGTACTGAATGAGAGTGAAACTCATGGCATGTCCTAAATGAGTTTGAAACTAAAGCTGCTAGCTGTAAGCAAAGACCACTGTACTGTAGTTACACTCAGAGAACCAGAAAAATATACATTTATGAAAACGGGCTACAGGAACCCTCTAATAAAGTAAATTTCTCTGTATTGCAATGGTTCTTAGCAAAGAATAAACCTCACACAGTCAGTCATCTATATCTGTGGATACACAACCGTGGATTCAATCAAAAGTATTTGGAAAACAAACAAACAAAAAACAACACTTAAACTGTGCCTACATGGAATAAGTACAGATCTTTAAATAACACAGTACAACAACTATTTGTGTAGTATTTCTACCAAGTTAGGTATTATAAGAGGTCCAAGAGATGATTTAAATTATACAGGAAGATGTGTTTAAAGTGTAGGCAAATGCTATGCCAGTTATATGAGGGGACTCAAGCATCTGCAGATTTTGATATCCACTGGAGTACAGGGAGGGGGTTCTGGAACCAATCCTCCGTGGATACTGACAGACAAATGTAATCACCTATGGAGCTTTTAAGCCTACACGCCAGGCCCCACTGCAGACTTACTGAGTCAAAATCTCCAGGCATCTACAATTTTTTAAAAGGGCCCCAGGTGATTCTGATGCATACCCCCAGGTGAGAAACATGCTGTCTCTCCAGGATGCACACCCGGTATTCAGTCCCCATCAATGAGACACTGAACATAACTCCAACTGACATCTGTTGGCTCCTTGGGGATTACTGACAATGTAATAAATCAGGAAAGCAACTTCCCTGGCGGTGACCACCAACTGGGAAAAACAGCAGTCTGACATCTCAATGCCATTATAGAGATGTCCAGAAAAATGACTCCTCATGAATGAACTAAAAAGAGAAGTGTGGATCTGTAAACACTGAAGAGTGACAAGAACCAGGTGCAGGAGTCCACTGGCTTTCCCAGCCTCCCTAGGTCAATGACAGATGGCTGAATTGGCTGTGCTGTTTGGAGACTGGCCCACCACCCCTTCTTTCAATTAGTGCATATAACCTTACCAAAGCAACACGATAGCACAGAGGAATCCCTCTTAGACTGAGCCTCCCAACCCCCTCCCCACTCCTCCTGCCCTTCTCTAATCTTGAATCTTCTCCTAACAGAGCTCAACTAAAGGCCATATCTCTTCACTACTGATTTTCTTCTTAGTGTTTTCAATACTTCTACTAATTAGCAAGGACAGGCTGGAAGCTAATGAAGAAATGAAGCTCTGTAGCTGGGGGTGTGGCTTAGTGATAGAACATGCCTCACCCAGCATGCCTGAGGCCTTGGGTTCCATCTCCAGCACAGGGCGGAGGTGGGGTTTCAAACCTGGAACTAATGGACAGGGTCAGAGGGGAGGAGGGAGGGAGGGAAACAGTGTGGAATAGTATAAGAGAATTAGGGAAACTACCTGGTATGGTCCCTGTCCTCTGTGTGTAGGATGATGCAGGGGACTGAAGTGGCTCTATAGAGCAATTTTCTGCAAAGTTCTGCTGCTTAGAGCCAGTGGGTGGACATGAAGGGCAGTCTGGGCCCAGGCTGTGTTCTGGGCCAGGCCAGTTCTGAGCTTGGCGAGTAAGGTCAATCTTGTGTTCCTGGTATCCAAGGACCCAGGTTCTCTCTCATTAATACTGTGATGTATGCACTGTACACCACCTTTGTTGTTTCAGGTGACTCTGGAGAGTTCTCTGGATTTGAAAGTGAATGAGCAGGAAGGACATCAGATAGTACAGGCTATCTATTCCCTCCCGTAGTTCATCTGCAGGAAAAAACTAGGAAAGGTTTTCCAAGAGAACTTCCTGGTTTTCCTATACAGAAGTCAACTGCTTCCCAAGAAGTTAGGAACAGAGTGAGAATAAAGAAATGGAGAAAATAATCTCACATAACACAGTGACTGTGCCAAGCAAGACCCACTTGTTATTTTTTACAGGGTTCGGTGCCCCAGATCTTGCACATGCCAGGCAAGCGTTCTACCACTGAGCAACACCCCAAGCCCCAGAACCCTCTGTCAGATCTGGGACTGTCTCCTCGCCAGGTCAGCAGCCCCAGCCTGGTCTGCTTCCAAGGCTTGGTTCATACAGTCCTCCAGAGTGACAGACACAGAGGGCCTTTCTCCTTTGGAGAGTAAAAAGAAATGAGAGCACAGGAAACTTGGCCATGTCAATTAGAAGGTACCAGGAAACTGTGATTTACATGGAAAAGTGCACATGCTTCCACTGTCTTCATAAAGGGTAGTACTAAACCCTGTGATCTGGCAGTCCATTCACTCAACCAATTCCAGGAACATTCTCAGCGTTCTGGCTGCAGAGGTGACCTCCAATAGTTGCAGAAGGGGGAAGGAGCAAGATCCAGGCTTCCTCATCCAAGTTGCTGGACAGGCATGTGGCAGGGAGTAGGGCCCAGGTGTTGGAGGGTATGGCTGCCACGGTGAGGCTACAAGAGCCAATGACAACTTGACCTTCAAGGGCAGCCTGGAAACAGCAACTGAACCACAGGGGCCTTTCACCCAATGCTGCCTCCTTGGCAGCAATGAGAGATAATCTAAACTGCCTTTATATAACCCAGCCGTTACTCAGCTTCTCCCACTGGGACAGGAGTTCAGACAGGGCATGGGAGAGACACAGTAGCAACCTCAATGTCCCCAAAACTCATGACTGAGGATATAAGAGTCACTGAGTAGGGGAGGGGTACAGGGGTACTTGGGGCTTCCAAGAACTGGGTTCGGTGTCCCTCATGTGCTCCTAAAGTCTCTTCTTAATTAGTTTCTCAAGTTTGCGGATGCGAGATGATTCCTGCTCTGGTGTAGGAGCCATCAGGGACAGAGAGCTGGAGCCATCTGCCCCTGAGGGCGGGGTGGGAAGTCTCTGGCGCAGGAGTTCCAGCATGTTGCTCTGCTCACTTCTCTTCAGCCCCTGAGGGTGGAAGAGAGAGGAGAGTTAGTGGTCAGGAGGTGGCTCTGCAATAGCCCAAAGAGAGAGTGCACCTCTGGGTCTGCTGTTGGCATGGCCTCTACCATCAGCACAATTATTTCAGGCTAAGGACAAAAGCTTTCTTCAGATAAATTATCAGCCTTCAGTAGTAGCCTGGGAGAAAGTGGAGGAAGGAAATAACGAAGGAATTGGGTAGGAGAGAAAGAAAGGTTGGAGAGGAGGACAGGTAAAGATGGAAGAATGATCTTCCTGCTCCTTCCATTCTGTCCTCTCCTGAGCAGTAGCTTCCAGGCATGCAGGGTGGTCCAGAACCCTGAAGCTAACATGCCCAGGACTACCCTCCTGGAATCCAGGTTGCAGAGTTGACTAGCTATGTTGGTTTTTTTTTTTTTTTTGGTACTGGAGATGGAATCCAGAAATGCTCTACCACTTATCTACATCCCCAGCCCCTTTTTATTTTTTAAAGACAGTGTCTCACTAAATTGCTGAGGCTGGCCTTAAATTTGTGATCCTCCTACCTCAGCCTCCTGAGTTGCTGGGATTTCAACCCACCACTCTAGGTCCACAACCTGCATTTTTGAGGCAGCCCCTCCATAACCCATATCCCACCACCTAGAATAAGAAGGATGAGTAGGAGTTGACAAGAAAAGATACTGAGCTCACCTTCATGTCCAGTATCTTCTGGAAGGTTTCTGTGTTACAGTCCGTAAGGAGTTTGATGTAGTTGTCCACAAACACCACCAATGGCTCATGGGGGGCCATCACTACCTACCAAGGGAAGGAACACAGTAGGCCCTTAAGGCTCGTTCTAGGCAAGCGCTCTACCTCTGAGCCACACTCCCAGCCCCTAAGCCTTATTTAATATTTTATTTAGAGATAGGGTCTCACTGAGTTGCTTAGCACCTTGCCATTGCTGAGGCTTGCTTTGAACTCACAATTCTCCTGCCTCAGCTCCCAAGCTATTGGGATTACAGGGTGCACCAGTGTACTTGGAGGATTGCCATTTTTTTGTTTTTGTTTTTTTGGTGGTGCTGGAGAATGAATTCAGGGTCTTGTGCATGCGAGGCAAGCACTCTACCAACTGAGCTATAGCCCCAGCGCCCCCGCCCCTTTTTTTTTTTTTTTGGTACCAAGGATTGAACTCAGGGGCACTCAACCACTGAGCCACATCCCCAGCCCTATTTGTATTTTATTTAGAGACAGGGTCTCACTGAGTTGCTTAGTGCCTCGCTGTTGCTGAGGCTGGCTTTGAACTTACGATCCTCCTGCCTCAGCCTCCCAATCCACTGGGATTACAGGCGTGTGCCATTGTAACCCTCTGGAGGATTGCTTTTTAATGTGCAGATTTCTGGGTCTCTTTTCTGTGTATTCTAATTCAGTGGGTCTGGGCAGGAGATGTTTTTAAAAAATAGGGACCATTTGGGAAACACAGTGTCAAAGGTCTCCGGTTGGACCTTTCATGGGTACCTGGTGCCTGCTCCTTCTGTCATTTTGTTGTTGTTTTGTTATTTTGGTACTGGGGAGTGAACCCAGGAGAGTTTTACCATTGAGCTATAGCCCCAGCCCTTTTTATTTTTTGAGACAGGGTCTCATTAAGAGGCTTAAGGCCTAAATTTCTGAGGCTGGCCTTGAACTTGTGATTCTCCTGCCTAAGCTTCCTGAGTCACTGGGATTACAGGTGTGTGCCATACCCAACTCCTTCTGTCTATTCTTGACAATCGGGCAACAAAAGGAATTGATGTGAGTGGATCTTCTCAAAAACAAAAATCCCAAAGCTTCCTTACTCTTTTGAAGACCTAAAATCTGGAACTTCATTTAACTACATTTACTTAAACTACCAATTAATATACAAACAGATGGCACTGCAACCCTCAGATTCATTTCCATTTGGTTTTGGAAGGCAGAATCTGATTTTTCTTCCCTCAGCAAAATAATTTTATTTTGAATTCCTGAGAATGTACGGGAGCAGTGAGGAGTATCTCCTTCAAAAGTCCTTGGCAGATCACTCCCAAACTGTATGCTCTCTCTGCAGAGAGGACACCAGCTGGAGAAGAATCCATCAGGCTACTTCCAATTTTCTCAGGCCATGGCTCAAGGCTTATGTGGGGCCTTTGCCTGGTCCCATGGTGTCTGTGGGCTGCAGCTACTTTTTTCTCCTGTCATCATTTGAGTTATTGTTTGGGAAGAGAGCCTGAAGAGCCTACAGGCCCTGGACTTTCAGGCCTTATCAGGTAGTACTATTTGTTCTCTAGCTTCTGCCCCTCTTCTCATGTTATCCTTGGAAATCATGGTAGGTGTTCAAGACATTCCTGACAGCACCAGCTGAAGTACAATATCTTGTTAAGTGATGCTAAAATCAAAACAAAGAAACAAACAAAAAACCCATTTGCTGATTAGATTCTGTTACCACAACATTGTTGAGTTCATTTAAAGATGTAAAGCACAGAAAGCCAAAAAGGCTTATGTGGAAGGGGAGGATAACTGATGTTCCTGCTGAGAGGCAAAGTTCCTAACTTATACAACTTGATTCACAGTGGCAACTCCTTCTAACTCTCAGTCTTGGCCAAATCTTATTACAAGAAAATCTCATGACAACAAAGAATTCCTTTGTCTGAAAGAATTACTGGTCCCCAAGTAATTGTCCACTGACTTCAAATAATATCTAATGAGGCCAACATTTAGTTTAAACAAAGGATGCAGATGATCCTTAGGACTGGTGGGGATAGGCCTTATGCTGGGCTTTCAAAATCAGAACTCCCTGGATATGGGATTAGAACAGGATCCTTGAGGAAGACACAGTCATTACCTTGAGGATCATCTCAGCCCGGGTCATGCCTTTCACGACAATCTTAGTGTAACTGGCAGGTGCCTTCCTCACCACCTGTGAGCCAATGGAAGGGAGGTCGAGCAGGACCATCTTCAGGGAGTGGGTGTCCAGTAGCAGCTGTGGGGAAAGCAGTGTGTTACCAGCCACTTCACAGGGACATGACACCAAATGAATCCATCAGATTAATCACATTTTCCTAATTATATACATAATATACTCTCATTGCAGAAAATTTGGAAAATAAACAACAAAAAATACTTTTAATTTCTTTATTCTGGGAAAATAAGAAACTACAGTTAAATGTGGTATAATTCCTGCTGTTCAGTTTGTGCACTTAAAACTAAATCAGAATCAATATTCTGTGCATGTGTATATATGTATGTATTCAGTTTTATAACCTGGGTTTTCCACTTTAACATATAAAGTTTTTGTATTCTATTTTCCCATCTTGGCAGTCTGGAAAAAATCATGAAGCTGGGCTAGTGGTGCATGCCTGGAATCTCAGCTACTTGGGAGGCTGAAGCAGGAGGATCTCAAGATTGAAGCCAGCCTCAGCAACCTAGTGAGACCCTGCCTCAAAATAAAAAAGGGCTGGGGATGTAGCTCAATTGTAGAGTGCTTGCCTAACATGTGTGAGGCCCTGGGCTCAATATCCAGTATTGGAAAAAAATCATGATTTTTAATGGCTATACAATATTCTGTAGCGTGTGTGTGTGTGTGTGTGTGTGTGTGTGTGTGTGTGTATGTGTATGTGTATGTGTGTTTAAGATATTAACAATTTATTTAGTTTGTTCCTAGATTTTTATTATTAATAATAAATGATGGACTGGGGTTGTGGCTCAGTGGTACAGTGGTTGCCTTGCATGTATGAGGCACTGGGTTCAATCCTCAGCACCACATAAATAAATAAAATGAAGATGTATTTAAAAAAAACAAAAACAAACGGTGAGGTAGTGGGACAGCCCTGTACACATATTCTAGGTGCACGAATGGCAGTCTTTGGGAGAGGCCAAAGCAGTACATTTTTAGGGTTCCTGACACATATGAACCTCTTTTTATATACCGACAGATATTTTATATATATATATAATATATATATGCACAATATCCCTATTTTTTATTTTTTTATGTGGTGCTGAGGATCGAACCCAGTGCCTCATGTATGCCAAGTGAGCACATTATCACTGAGCCCTAGCCCCAGCCTCACATCTGAACCTCTTTACAAATGAAGAATACATACACACTTTCTAGCAGCCCAGGCTCACTCTCATCAGCAATGAAAACTTTCATAAATATATTGCTTATTCATTAGGCAAAAAATGGTAATTTGCTATTGCAGTTTTTAGTGTTTTTTTTTTTTTCCTGGATGCTAGTGAGAATGTAGGAGAGTTAACCAAATTTAAATAAGTCTTGGCAACAATCCAACTTTTCCTATTTGTTCTGGATGCTAATTATTTGGAAGGCTATCAACTTTTCTGTCTGACCACCAATGGCTAGGAATGATGCTAGGAATGTTTTATGACATTTAGCATTTAGTCTTCATCTTGTTTGTTTTGGTATAGGGAACTGAACCCAGGGTCTTCAGCATGGCAGGCCAGTGCTGTACCACTGATCTACATCACAAGCCATTTTTAAAATTTTATTTTGAGACATGGTCTAAGTGGCAGAGGCTGGTCTTGGACTTTTGATCCTCTTGCCTTAGCCTTGCAAGTAGCTGTGATTACAGGTGTAAACCACTGTGCCCAGCTGCTTATCACATTCAGTTTTCATGAGGCCCTGTCCTTATGAAGGTAGTTATTTCTATTTTATAGATGAGAACATCAATGATCCATATGTTTTTAATAACTTGCCAAGACAAACTAATGAACAAGAGACACTATTAATGTAAGGCTATGGTGATTATAATTTTGACAATGGAAAAAAGGTTCTGGGAAGACATCAGTGTTTTATCTAGATGGCACAGAGGTGCACACCTGTAATCCAAGCTACTTGGGAGCTTGAGGCAGGAGGACTGAAATTTCTAGACCAGTCTTGGCAATTTAGTGACACTGACTCAAAAAAGAAAAAACAAAAACAAAACCAAAAAAATCCCAGAAACCAGAAGAGGCTAAGTATAATATTGACCAAGGAATGATTTGCAGAAACATAAAAATTCCTACAGATCAAGAAGAAAAAGACTGGGGTTGGGGGTGTAGCTCAGTGTTAAGAGTGCATGCTCCTCATGAATGAGACCCTAAAAATTCAATCTCCAGCACAAAAAAAAAAAAAAAATCAATGAGACAAAGAATACAAATAGGTAATTCACATAAGAGGAAACTCAAATGACCAAAAGGCATTGCATTATTAGTAATTGGTAAATGCCAATTAAAACTATAAATACAGGGGCTGGGGATGTGGTTCAAGTGGTACTGTGCTTGCCTAGCATGAGTGAGGCACTGGGTTTGATTCTCAGTATCATATAAAAAAATAAAATAAAAAAACCCAAAGATATTGTGTCCACCTAAAACTAAAAAATAAATATTAAAAAATCCTATAAATACATGTCATTCATATCTATCAGACAGTCAAAATTTTTAAAGTTTGATAAAGAAAAAGACTGGGTTTGGGGTGTAGCTCACTGGTAGAGGGCTTGCCTAGCATGCATAAGGCGTTGGGTTTGATGCCCAGGACTATTAAAACAAACAAACAAACAAACAAACAAACTTGAAATGGATGTGGCATTGAAATTCAAACTTATAGTGACTATAAATTGATTCAAGCATGGAAACAGTAATATCATCTTGCTTGAAGATACTTATAACCTAACAGAGCATTTTTACTTACATCCTTTAGAGAACTTGACCATGTAAAAAAATGTTCTCTGCACCCACTGTTTGCAAAATATTGGAAACAATTTAAGTGTCCATAAAAAAGAGAATGAATAAACAAATGGTGGCATATTTATGCAATGGAATATGATGCTGAAGTTAAAATGAGTGAACACAAATGACACACATCAACATGAATTAATCTCAAAAAACACTGAATTGGGGAAAATAAGCAAGAGGGGAAATGACACGTATGGTATGATTTATATAAAGCTTAGAAATAAGCAAAACAAAATCATGTATCATTTGGGAATATATATACTCGTATAACATACCAAAACACTTAGGGGAATGGAAAAATCAAAATAAGAGTGGTGTTTACCTCTGGGCACGGACAGAGGATAATGGCAGAGTGGAATCCACAGGAGGCTTCAGCAATAACTGTTAACGATTTACTTTACATTTAAAAAAAAAAACCTACAGAAAAAGTGGGACCATGTCACAGATTTTACTAAGTGGTGAGCTGATGTTCTTTACATTATTTCCTATACTTTTATTAACAGGAAATATCTTTTTTTTCTTAAAGTACGCCATTTGAGGCCTGGCAACTTTGTCTTCGATATAGCAAATTTTAAGAGCCTTGTCAAAATCAAAGTCATGTCTTGGCATTTATTTGATGGCAGGAAAAAAAATACCTAATGATTATATTTTAAAACATGGGGATACTTTGTACTTTTCTATTTTTTAAAAATATTTTTTAGTTTTCAATGGACCTTTATTTTATTTATTGATATATGGTGCTGAGAATCAAACCCAGTGCCTCACACATGCTAGGCAAGCACTCTGCCACTAAGCCACAACCTCAGCCCTACTTTTCTATTTTTTTACTTTATAAAATATATAATATTTATATATAATATTTAATATATAATATTTATATATAATATTTAATATATAATATTTATATATAATATATAAATTTCCAATTTATATACATTATATATAAATAATTGTATAGTTTTAAGTGACAAGATGAGTTTTGAATGAACCAGAAATAATTCTGTTGTTAGGAGAGATGGACTGGGGATTAAACCTGGGGGCACTTTACCACTGAGATATATACCCACCCTTATTTATTTACTTATATATTTATTTATCTTGAGACAGAGTCTAAGTTGATGAGGCTGGCCTCAAACTTGTGATCCTCCTGCCTCAGCCTTCCAAGTCACTAGGATTCACATGTCCACCACCACATCTGGCATAAGACATCCCTGGCCAGTGACAATAAAATTATGACTTTACCAGACAGATGAAGAGATGAAAACCTTGACCTCAGGCTTTAGGTAAGTGATGTAGACAAAAAAAAGGAACTAGCAGCTGTCTGGGGGAAGTGAAGATAAAAGGTTCCATTTATCATGAAAATCTGCCCCAAGTTTCACCTTTGAAAATGAAAACAGCCAATAGTTCATCTCTTTAGGCCCGAGGCACTGAGCAAGAAGGCCATTGCCAAATTTGTTTGTGCCTCAGAGGTGTTTGGGGTGGTGCTCCTGGGTGCTGTTGGTGAGCTGCTGAGGTGCAATGTTGGCCAGAGTGCTGTGTCTGCAAAAGTGAAGTCACTGAGGGCCCCAGGGTTTGATCCCCAGCTCTGCAAAGAGCCTTACTTCTTGTTTTGTTTTTTGGTACTGGGGATCGAATCGAGGGACACTTAACCATTGAGCAACACCCCGAGTCATTTTATATTTTATTTTGAGACAGGGTCTCGCCAAGTTCTTTAGGGCTTCTCTAAGTTGCTGATGCTAGCCTCCCACTTGTGATCCTCTTGCCTTAGCCTCCTGAGTCGCTGGGATTACAGATGTGCATCACCTTGCCCAGTGAGCCTCACTTCTTAAACTACCTCCTGCAATTTTGGGGGACACTATAGCTACTGGTAGGGATGAAAAGTCTTAAGTAGAGAAGCTAAAGGCACATTCCTAGAAGGCGAGGAACCATATATGTGCTGCAAAATTCTTCAGTGAGGTGGCATAGGGAGACTAGGTCAAGATATTATGAATGGACCAAGGTGGGGGCAATATATCTTGCTTCTTAGCTCTTTCATCTTTGTCACTGTTTTTTTTTTTTTTCCTGTTTTCTTTTGCAGTGCTGGGTTTGATCAAACCCCTGGGCCAGGAGCTACATCACCAGTCCCTCCCACCACATTCTTTTTTTTTGGGGGGGAGGTACTGGGGATTGAACTCAGAGGCACTCAACCAGCCACATCCCCAGCCCTATTTTGTATTTTATTAGAGACAGGGTCTCACTGAGTTGTTTAAC